CAAAGCATGTTTTTTACCCCCTTTGGTACTGGGGATTGAACCCAGGGGTACTTTACCACTGAGCCACATCCCCAGCCCTTTTTATTTTTTATTTTGAGACAGGGCCCACTAAATTGTTAAGGCTGTTCTCAAACTTGCAATCCTCCTGTCTCGGCTTTACGAGTCCCTGGGATTACAGGTATGCATCACTGTGTCTGGCATTATCCACAGCTTTAAAAAAAAAAAATTGAGACAAATTTCTCCCTATATTCTCCAGCTGGCCATGAATCTGCAATCCTCTTCCCTTAGCGTCTCAAGGAGCTGGGATTACAGGCATGTACCACCATGCAGGGCAAATTTCCTAATTCATTTAACTCTCCCACACACTGTTGGACTTTAAAGTTATTCAATTTGCTCTTCTTATAAATAATCCCATGGTAAATGTCTGTATAAATAAAGTTAAAGTTTCTCAGTACTTCCTTAGAATAGTTTCCTCAAAGTGGCATAACTGGATCAATAGGTATAAACTTTGAAAAAATTCTTGCCAAATCACTTTGTGGACAAGTTATGCCTATTTTTTTTCTACCAGGAAGATAAAATTACCTATTTTCCCACACCTCTGACAGATTTATCTTAAATCTTTGATTATTTGCTAATTTAAATTAATCTCACTGTATAAATTTGCATTCTCTTGGAAACTAGTCAGGTTGAATATTTTTTTTTTCATATTTCAACTAAATTCTTTTTTCATTAGGTTGAATACATTTAAAGAAATTTTTTAGTTGTAGATGGACATGATATCTTTATTTTACTTATTTATTTTTATGTGGTGCTGTGGATTGAACCTAGTGCGTCACACATGCTAGGCAAGCACTCTGCCAGTGAGCTACAACCCTAGCCCCTGAATACTTTCAATGTTATTAGATATTCTAAGAATTGTCTAGTAGGATTTAAAAGTTTAAAAATATATATCCATCTGTATTTTCTTATTTTAAAAGTATTTTTTAGTATTTAATTCTTCTTTGATGTATGGTAAGAGTGAAGATAAATTCTAAAAGTTTTTCTAATCTTTACCCAGTTCTTCCACTACCATTTGTTCAATGACTTTTATGCTTTATTTAACATATAATCAAAGTCTGGCCAGGCACAGTGGTGCACACCTGCAATTCTAGCGACTCAGGAAGGAGGAGGCAGGAGGATTACAGATTAGAAGCCAACTTCAACAATTTAGTGAGGCCCTAAGCAACTTAGTGAGATCCTGTCTCAAAATGCAAAATTTTATTTATTTATTTTTAGAGAGAGAGAGAGAGAGAGAGAGAGAGAGAGAGAGAGAGAGAATTTTAATATTTATTTTTAGTTTTCAGTGGAGACAACATCTTTATTTGTGGTGCTGAGGATCAAACCCAGGCCACACACATGCCAGGCGAGCGGGCTACCGCTTGAGCCACATCCCCAGCCCAAAATGCAAAAATTTTAAAAAGGGGCTATGGATGTAGCTCAGTGGTAAAGTGACTCAATTTTTTTTTTGGTACTGGGTTCAATCCCTAGTACAAAATTTCTGTGTGTGGGTGTGTGCACAAATCATGTTTATATATACTTATATATGCCATATATTATATGTATTGTTTATTTTATATATAATTCTAAAAAGAATTTCCAAAACAAAGTAAAAATTTAAAATATAAGAAACAAAAATATACACAATAAGATTCTAACTATGTTGGAGTTTCTTTTTGACCTATTCTAGTTCATTTACCTATTTGTGATTTTGTTACCGGTACCACACTAACTCAATTAGCTCAATTTTATGACTTTATAATATATGGCATATTAATATCTGGTAAAGCAAGATAATTTTTTATTTTTTTAAAAAAACTTCATAGCTATCTACAACCTTCCCATCCTATTTATTTATTTACACACACACATATACATATATATTTTTAAAGAATTATTTTGTTAAGAAAAATTTCACTGGGATACTGATTGAAATAGCATAGTTCTATACATTAATCAATGAATAAATTAATAGGCACAGCTTTCCATAACAATAGTCAGGCCTCATCCTTGAGCTACCACTTTGAAGGACAATGTGGAATGAGGATAAGAGCATGGACTGTGGCCCAGGAAAATCTCTGTGGACTTACCTAACCTCTCTGTGCTTCAATTTTATCCTTTATATAATCATCCCTATCATTTTATTAGACAGAATCACTATGACAACTAGAAACTTACAATCAAATTTCAAAATATTTTACGCTGTCCACCCCCAAAAAAATAGTTTTAAGAAAGAATATGAGGAAAAGGCAAGGGTAGTATTATTGGCAATGTGGATCTCTCCAGCACCTAAACCCTAATCTCCAGGTGTATTAGAAAGGCTAGATTTCCTTTTCAGCCTCCCCACACCCTCACACTTACATATTGATACATGACAGGCACTTAGTACATATTTGTTGAATAATTAAATGAACAAATTATGATGGTCCTCCTGGTTCTAACATTCCAGGACAGTAACGCCAACAGCCATTCCCACATTCCTTTGAATGGCCAAAAATTGCAGATTCCTGGGGAGAACTCAATGTGAAGTGAGCCTTCTTGAGATATTACCACACTTCCCCACACACTAATGGAGGAGGGTGCACAATTAATAAATGAAGACCCTGGAGTCTTCTCTCAAAGATTCCTGTCTCACAAGCACCACTAAAATTATTCAATCCCTTCTTAGAGAAATAGCTTAATAAGATACTGATGCTAAGATATTTGCACATGTATTTACAGCAGCAGATCATTCACAATAGCCAAAAGGTGGAAGCAAAGCAAGTATCCTCCAAGAGACAGAGAACAGATGTGGTATAAAATGATATATTAGGCATAAAAGGGAATGACTGACATGTGCCGCAACGTGGGTGAACCTTAAAGACATTCTACGTCAAAGAAGCCAGTAAGGAAAGGACAAATACTGTATGATTCCACTTATATGAGGTACCTAGAGTACTCAAATTCACAGAGGAAGAAAGTAGCACACTGGTGGCCAGGAGCTGGGGAGAGGGAGGAATGGGGAATTATTATTTAATGGTACAGAGTTTCGGTTTGGAAAGATAAAAAGATCTGGAAATGGATGGTAGTGATGGTTGTACAACAATGTGAAGTAATCAGTGCCACTGAGCTGAGCACTTAAAATGTCAATCTACATCTAAAAAATAAATATTAAAAAGAGTTTAAAAAATGGCTAAATAGTAAATTTTGTGCTATGTGCAACAGTTTGCACATGACCCCAAAATTCATATGTTGGGAATTTAATCCCCAGTGCAATAGTGTTAAGAGACTGGACCTTTGGAAAGGCTATTATATCATGTCCCAGGGGATTAATGTCACTACCATGGGAATGGGTTCCTTGTCTTGAAAGTGGGCTTGTTAAACAAGTGAGTGTGGCTCTCTCTCGCTCTCCAAGCTCTTGCCTTTCTGCCTTCTGCTCCGAATGATGCAGTATTAAGGGCTGCACCAGATGCAGGCCCTTTGGTGTTGGACTTTCACTTCCCAGAAGTGTAAGAATGTCTGTTCTTAGGTATTCCATTATAGCAGCACAAAGTGGACTAAGACATTTATGCACGTTGCACTACATTTTTTTTAAAGGTATTCAGGAATTTTGGGTAGCTGGGAGGGGGGAGCTAGTCTTACAAAAAGGAGGCATAAGTGCACAGTGCACCCATTTCCTGAGCTGGTCACAGAAGATGACTCCAGTTGTGGGGTGGAAAGATACAACATGGGCTTAGACGTCCTGACACCCATCTGGGACTTCTCCGATTCTAGCCTGTCGGGCTCAGGCTGTCTCCTCCCATTAGACACGTTCGGTAAACCTGAACTTCTCCCAGAAGGAGCCCTCCGTTCTCCCAGAAGGTTCCCGCGTGTAAGCCTGCAGATGCGAACGACACCGGGCCTCTCCTCAGCCCCCACCAACAGGTCCTCGACACAGGACGGGCCGAGGTCCACTCCTTGCCTCTCCTCCAGTCACAGCGTAGAGGGCCCTTGAACGGTCATCCCACACAAGGGCAGCGGCTACGAAGACGCCCCAAGTCTCCGGTACCAGAGGCTGAAAACGCCGGGGTTTAAATGGACGTCCCCCACCCCGGAGAAGAAACAGCGCCGGGTCCTTTTCTCCTGAAGCCCAACCCAGGGAGGATGTCTATAAAGGCCCCGACACACTTGGGAACCCAGCTGCGCCGTTACCACCACCACCTCCAGAGGCGGGAGGAGGGAGGCGCACGGTCTCCCGGAAGCACGACCCCCGGTTCCCTCAGGCCCTGTCCCGCTCCGCGCGGAACACGGAGGCGGGACAGAGGGACGCGGGGGAAGGACAGCTGGGGACGATAAACTGGAAGGTGGGGGCGAATGAAAAGAGGTGAGTGGGGACCTACTAGTTTAAGTAAGTGTGTAGACGTATGCATAGAGACAGGCGAGGAACCTCAGACTCTGCCAACAGCGCCAAAGTCATCCCCCTGGACTTGTGGTTTGCCCCACTTGCGTGAAGTCCCGCGAGAGCTCAGCCGCAACTCGCCCTCTTTCCAGTAGGCTAAAGACCCGCCCTGCGCCCGCCCCGCCCCGCCCCAGGCCCCGCCCAAGCTCAGGCCCCGTCCGTGCCCAATGCGCAAACTCCGACCTCGCCCCCTGCCCAATGCGCATGCTCCGACCCTCCGTCTTCGTGTCTCTGAGGCTGAGCTGGCAGAAGTGAAGGGCTCCGGGGGTCGGAGGGCAACCCAGGCCCAGGGGCCCCGCCCCGCCCCAGGCCCCGCCCAAGCTCCGCCCCGGCCCCGCCCCGGGCTCCAATGGCACAGCCGTGAGGGTGCTGGGCGCGCCCCAGGTAGCCCACTACGGGCGATCCCCGCGGTCCTCCTCTGCGGGG